ACATTTGGCAATGTCTAGAGACATTTTCGTTTCTCACAGTTGTGAGGGTCTAGCCTTAACTGGATAGGGGCCTGGGAGGCTTGCAAGGCTCAGAGCAGCCCCAGCCTCAAACAGAAAGTGAAAGTGACCCCATCTACAAAGGTCAACCGTGCGGGGCGTGACAACCCCTGTTGCAGTCGGCCTGGCTTTGCTTCGTGGCTTCTAGCTCAGCAGCAGGGAGAATGTTAAACCCTTCTACCTCTCAGGGGCTCCCGGGCTGTTTGGGAGCCAGGGGTGGGTAACAGGCATCCCTTTAATCTCACCATCTCTGGTTTCCAAAACACCAGTCGTCTGGGTACAGTGACACACAGATGTAATCCCAGTACTTTGGGAGGCCAAGGCAGGAGGATCGTTTGAGCCCAGGAGTTTGAGACCAGCCTGGGCAACATAGGAAGATCCCATTTCCAAAAGAAAAGAAAAGCAAGGAAAGAAGAAAAGAGGGAGGGAGAGAGACAAAAAGAGAAGAAAGGAAAGGAAGAAAGAGAGGGAGGAACAGAGAGAGGGAGGAAAGGAGGGAGGAAGATAGAACAAAAAAAAAAAGAGAGAAAGAAAGAAAGGGAAAGAGAAAATAAAAAAGAATTAGCCTGGCGTGGTAGCACATGCCTGTGGCCTGTGGTCCCAGCTACCTGCGAGGTTGAGGCGGGAGGATCACTTGAGCTGGAGAGGTCGAGGCTGCAGTGAGCCATGATTGCACCTCTGCGCTCCAGCCTGGGCAAGAGAGCAAGACTCTGTCTCCCTGTCTCAAAAAAAAGCGGGGGGGGGGCATCAACTCTCCCCTCCCCCGTCCCATCCCTCCCCATCCTTTCCCAGGTACAGGAGTTCAGTGCCAGGGACCAGAGTTCCCGCCTCCTGACAACCTTTAAGGTTTAATAAACAACTTCCTTCCGAGATGGTTTAAAGGCCAGCCCTGCTGGCAGGCAAAGGCAGAAGCCTCTTGGGCGCCTCTTGGAGATTCAGTGAGGTGGTGGATATGAAAGCACTCCACCAGGTATGAAATCGCATACAAATATTCCCGAAAATTTATGTACATTCCTCTTCGCCTGGGCTCCCAGGAGTCGCGCGAAGAGGCTGTTCCGTTTCCAGCCGTTGCCTCGGCGCCCCCGTGCGGCCGCCGGTGGACACAGCGCCCAGGGCGGGCCCTACCGGGGAGGTGCGGGCTGGAGCTTCGCAAACTACCCTATGGAAGCTTCGCTGTAGCCTTCGAGGCGGGAGAGAGATGACAGCACACGCACCCCACCCTCAACAGATGCACACACTTGCACGCGCGCGCGCATACACACACACACACACACACACACACACACACACACACACAGCTTTGGAAACCAGGAAACCAAGGCTAGGAAGATCACCGCTGGGCAGTGAAGGAGGTGCTATGGACCCCAGGGATGGGCACTTCCATTACAGTGACCACAGTGGGCATCAGTGAGGCTGCAAGGGGAACCCCCGAAGGCCTTGGACTCAAGCCCAACTCCCCCTCCAACCTCTTCTCCCCAAGCCACCTTACCTCTGCCACACAGAACTTCACAATAATTCTCAGAAACACCCTGCCTTCTCCTGACCCCTGGCTGATGTTAGCTCCCTCCCTCCCTCCTTCTGCCTGGAAGTCCTTCTCCTGGCAAGCTGCTGCACACCCCTCTCGGAGGCTGCATGCTATGTCCCCTCCTCCATGAAGCCTTCCAGGCCTCCCTCAGGAGGAATTACACTCCCAGCCTCTGGGCATCCTCCACAGCTATTATGAGATCCCAGTTGGGAATGTTTAGAGCAGGAGCCACCTTCTGCTTATCCCCAGGCCCAGCCCAGTGCCTGCCTTAGAGGAGGAGCTCAGTCATGTCCATCATGTAAATGGAATGGATTGAATGGGAGAAAATCCTGGAGGTTGGGAGGTCTTCCCAGCTATTGCCTTGCCAGCGCTCTCCCCACCTGCGAGCTGGGGCATTGGGGTTTTGACCCACCCTGGTCCTCTTTCCAATGTGTCCCTGAAAACTGAGGAGAGAACTCTAAACCGTTTGGCCTTCAGGGGTGTCCGGAGTGGGGCTGCTAGAGGGAGGAGGGGAGGCCCTGTGCCTTCTGAGACCCTCTCTGCCCAGAGCCAGCAGAGTGTGGGAAGGGAAGGAGGAGAAAGGCTTGGACTGTGCCCTGCAGCTCCAGACATGCCCTCTGTGCCCCTCCAGCCATGCGGTAACACCCTGCTTGAGACCCTCCCCGCCGCCTCTTGACAATGGCAATAGCCCTCACCATCCCTCCAGTGCCAGCGTTGGGCATTGCAGCCCACCAATAGCGAGAGTGACCGTAACAGGCAGCCTGGCACTCTCCAGGGCTTTCCCCTCCTGCAGCACCCACTGGGCCCTGGAGAGTTTCATCTCGTGTGTGTATGGGAGTCACCAAGGAGGCTCACGTCTGGAGCAGCGTCAGCTCAGGGTGCAGGCTGTGACACCCAGGGCCAGGGCTCTGGCCCCCGTGGTCTCTGACAGTCCCCGACCACTCCAGGACATCTGGGGCTCATCTTCCCATGGAGCAGGGAAGCATGCCCTCTGTGCACCTCGCCTCACCTTTCAGTGGCTGCAGCTTATTTTGCTATTTGTCCCCCTTGGGGAGCTGGAGGTCTTTGGTACTTGATCAGATTTGCCATTGTGTTTTGATACTACACATCTACGGTTAAATTATACAGCTCAAGAGGGTGAACATCTGTCTCCTTGGGATCGCTGCCAAAAGGGAGGTGCAGCTCCTCCTCCTGTGTCTGTCCTTGTCCTGTCGGGCCTGCAGTGGGGCGGAGAAGCACCAGTCATTCACTCAACAAATAGTTTTTGAACCTACTACATGCCAGACACTGCTTCGGGCACATTCATGCCTTCTTCTATCCCTCCCTGAATTCCTCGCTCCCTCCACCCCTTTATCTAGTGAGTGATCTCAATGCCACATCCAGCCAAATCATACTGCAACGTTAGCACTGAACACTTACCATACAGATGGGGACGGCACTTCAAGACTTATCCACAGAATGCTGAGCCCCGTCCTTGCCTTCAAGGAAAAGTAGTAAGGTGGGGCATAGTGGCTCACACCTGTAATCCTAGCACTTGAGGAGGCCAAGGCAGGAGGATCCCTTGAGCCTGGAAGTTCGAGACCAGCCTGGGCAACATAGGGAAACCATGTCTCTAAAATAAAAAAAAATTTTTTTTTGAGACAGAGTCTCACTCTTTTTGCCCAGGCTGGAGTACAATGGCATGATCTCAGCTCATTGCAACCTCTACCTCCCAGGTTCAAGTGATTCTCCTGCCTCAGCCTCCCTAGTAGCTGGGATTACAGGCATGCGCCACCATGCCTGGCTAATTTTGTTTTAGTAGAGATGGGGTTTCTCCACGATGGTCAGGCTGGTCTCGAACTCCCGACCCCAGGTGATCCACCTGCCTCGGCCTCCCAAAGTGCTGGGATTACAGGCATGAGCCACCGCACCTGGCCTACAAAAATTAAAATAATTTTTTAAAAAAGAGTGGTACACATGTATGAAAAGTTAAACACCTCCACAAAGCCTACAGAGAGGTGACTGCAAGGAACCACTGAATGAGTAGCAAGCGACATAAGTCAAGGGTGAAGGGTCCTGCCTGAAAAGGGGGGGTGTGGGAGTTGAGCTCTGAAGGACCAGGTGCACTTGGCATCAGAGTGGACAGCAGAGCCAATGCCTGGAGGGCAGAAAGTGCCTCCTACGTGAAGAGGCCCCTCGGCTTGGCTGAAAGGGTGGTTGCTTGTGGAGAAGCAGTGGGATAGAAAAGACCAGACAGGCATTGCCTGAGATGGGAAGGGGTGGCAAAGCCAGGCTCCGAGGTATGGGAAAGTCCTTCTCAGGTGGGAGCTGAAGCACCTGTGATTCTCAGATCAGATCTGACCTTCAGGCATCTAAAATTAGGCTTCTGCCAATTACTTTCCCACTGCTAGAATGCCGACACATTTACAGTTTCAGAGATGCAGTTCGGTTTCTTCAAAAGACTCTTCAGTGCTATTACGGTATTTGTGATCTCTCTGCAGCAGGGTCTATTGGTTCCTGTATCTCCAGCACCCCCAGGAAGGCACTCGGCCTGAGCTTGTTAATGGAAGGCCAGGAGGGAGGAAGAAAGGAAGTTAAATAAGTTCTAAGCAAAGCTCCTGGCGAAGTGCTCTTTCTCTTCAGGAGGGCTGCTCTCTAATAATAAGCATGAAGCAATTACATTCTGCCGTGTGGTTATTAAATTCTGGGGAAACAAATATAATAAAATGTAGACATTTGTAGAGAGGTTGGAAATAAAAGTGGAGGATAAAAATAAAATCCATAACCATAGGTTGCTCAGAGCTTAACCTAAAGGATGTTACAGGGTAGAAAGGAGCGCTGCCCTCCCCAAGCTGCCCAAGCCTCCCCAGGAAGTGGCAGGAGCCTGGGCTGGGGAATCCGCCCAGCAGCGGTTCAAGTCCTGAGTTCACCTGTCACCTCTGGGGCGGTGGTGAGACCCTGCAAGAGCAGAAGCCACTCCCGCTGCTGCACCATCAGCCCTAGGAGTGAGACATTTAGCCAGGGGCCGCTCTGCAACAACAGCTGTTGGAAGCTTTTTTTCTTTTTTTGCTAGAGATTGGGTGGCAGTGGTGGTGGTGGTGGCGGGAGGCAGGGGGAGAGGCTGTTACTATGTTGCCCAGGCTGGTCTCGAACTCCTGGTCTCAAGCAATCCGCCGACCTCGGCCTCCCCCAGTGCTGATTACAGGCGTGAGCCATTGAGTCCAGCCTTAACTTAGTTTTATTAATCAATTCCTAAAGGAATTGGCGGCAGCAGGCAGAAACGCTCCCTTTTATGCAAAGAAGAGCCCAGGGCCCTGGTCATGACAGGTTTGGTTCCCAAAAAGGAGACAGGAAGAAAACGTGAGGCGCCAGAGCAAGAGGTTCTACCAGGTGCACACGAGGATCCCTGCCATTCAACGAAGAATTCTCTGAGTAGATGCCACGCGCATAGGTCCAACGAAAGCCGTGGAGAATAAGCGTTAGCTCTTCAGACTGAATCTGAGCTAAAATCTAGCGAAGCCAGGCTGGGGTTTGGGAGGCTGCGGGGGAAGACAGGAATGGGTGAATGTGGAAGAGCCGGGTGTCATGGGAGGAAGGGATGGGGAGGAGAGGAGGTAGGCGAGGAGGGGGAGGAGAGAGACGGAGGGAGGGCGGCAGCCCATTCCGTTCTTGGAGCTGCACTGTTGACCTCAACCACAAGGGGGCAGGGCTGCTGAAATTGGAAGGACGAACGCCTTAATGTTGCTTGACCCTCGGCAGGCACCGTATCCAGTTTCCTCCGTTGGTGGGGAGGGTTTAATTGCCCGGAAACGGAAGTCTCGTTCTTTTTCCTCCTTTTCCTCGGTTATTGCTATCTGTGAGCGTCTGTAGGGTGGTACGCCGGTGAGAAGGTAATCTGAGGCAATCCACGGCCAGGTGAAATTTGGGGACCCCAGGTCCGCATGGAGAGTGTCAGGGAGGAGAAAGGGAGTGCGATGGGGCCGATATTTTGGGGAAGGGCGGGAAAGCAGGGTTCGCTGTCCGCCCCCGTGCCTTGTTAACTCCGAGGACTGTTTCCCGCAGGTTCCGGTGCGCGCCCGTTCCCAGCGCGTCTCGTCATCATGGTGAGTACGGCCCCTGCCTGGCGCCTTCCCGGGGCGGGCTCGTGGGGCCCCGGGGCGAGGGCGAGAGAGCCTCCCTGGGATCTCCGGAGGCCGGGAGGAGCTGGCGGACTGGACCGTCACCGGAAAACGTGAGTCTTTGCAGTCTGTTTACCCGCTTCCTTTGTGTTGCAGCCTCGGAAAATTGAGGAAATCAAGGACTTTCTGCTCACAGCCCGACGAAAAGATGCCAAATGTAAGTGAATGCTCTGAAGGTTGAAGATGAGCTCTGCCTGCTCTGGCTCCGCTCCGGGAGCTTCTTCCCCGGAATGTCAGGCAGGAGGCGGGTTAGGCCGTCCGGGCGTGTGCCTGGCTTTCTAGGAGCAGTGGTTTCATCGTTTGGGGTACGCGAGGCCCTGGGGCATCTAGGGCCATGTTTAGCTAATCGCGAGCATCGCAGAGGCTGCCCTGAGTTCGGTTTTCTTTTGTATTAATACAGTAAATTTTCGGAAAGGAATTTCCACTGCGCGAAAGTCTCAAAGCACACGTCTTAAAACACTGAATTTAGGTTCTCTGCAATGGTGCAAAATCTTAACACAAAACCCATTTGGTAATAATGAGCTGGATATTTGCTTGTAATGCATTGAAAACGGCACGCGGTGCAGTGTAGTCGTTTACCTCGTGATCCTGTGGTTGCTGCTTGGTGTCAGAAGGTATCATACCGTATAGCTCTCGCTCAGAAATAGAGCAAAGACTTTTTTTTTTTTTCTTTTTGAGCCAGAGTCTAGCTCTGTTGCCCAGGCTGGATTGCAGTGGCGGGATCTTCGCTCACTGCAACCTCCGCCTCCTGGTTTCAAGCGATTCTCCTGCCTCTGCCTCCCAAGTAGCTGGGATTACAGATGCCTGCTATCACAGCCAACTAATGTTTGTATTTTTGGCAGAGACGGGGTTTCAACATTTGTCCAGACTGGTCTCGAACCCCTGACCTCAGGTGATCTGCCCTCCTCAGCCTCTCAAAGTGTTGGGATTACAGGCGTGAGCCACCTCGCACGGCTTAATAAACATTTTTTTTTTTAAGTTCCGTATGTCTTTGCAAATAGCTTAGTTCAGCTGTCGGGGGCAATGTTACAGTACTGAAATGGGCTGGTTTGGATGACTATTTAAGGAGCCCAGGCAGCCAGTACCTTGGGCAGGCTCTAGGTCACAGTGCTCCTGCTTCCTGTGATGTGTCCCATTCCTGTAGCTGTAACTGGCAAAGTGTAATTGGGGGTCCGTGAGTACATGATTGTCTCGCCTGGCCGGTGCTCGTGCTGAAGTGTTAGGGCCCATGTTCAGCCCTCAGCCACCTGCTTCTTGATTGGTACTTCATTGCTTTTATAACAATGAATTCCTGGGAGCGTCTGAGCAGTTTTTAAAGTGGTTGGAAGAAGGCGTTCGACGAGTACATGAAGTGGGTAGACTAGTCCTGAAGTGTTTTAACAGCAGCCAGATGGAAATGCATTCACACATGTATATAACCAGAGTGGTGCACAGCTTCAAACCCTGCACAGTTGAATTTGAGGTGCACTTTAGAGCCCTTTCCTGTCTGAACTGTGATCCTGAGATAGAATTTGGCAGCATGAAATAACCCAGAGAACAGATTTCATATAAATCTGGGGAAAAGCCTTCGTGGGTGCTGTGTGCAGTGGTTGAGGCATCCTGAAGAGCAAGCTCTATCTGACTGGCCCAGGATGTCATCCCACGTGATGGATTTCCAGGAATGGAGTGCTGAAAAGCACTCAGCCCAGCACAGTGTCTCCTTACTCTATGACTGCTTCCATCCCTTTGAGAAAAGATAACAAGGTTGATAGAGGACGTTCTGCAGTGTTGTATTCAGTGTACAAAATGAAAGTTCGAAGCTAGAGAACAGGTCATAGTGGTTTCTGTTTCAGCAGAGGGGATGGTACTGGAGGTGGGTGCTAATTGTCACTTGAGCACTGCTGACTGTAAAAGTACATGGACTGTGTAACGTTTGTTTTCTGTGATACAGTTTAATTCCTGATTGTGTCTCTGGTAGCCGTCAAGATCAAGAAAAATAAGGACAATGTGAAGTTTAAAGTTCGATGCAGCAGATACCTTTATACCCTGGTCATCACTGACAAGGAGAAGGCAGAGAAACTGAAGCAGTCCCTGCCCCCTGGTGAGTGAGCCTGAAGTCTCTTGGGGTGTGAGGGGTTGGAAGGCTGCTGTATGTGGCCATCTTGTATCTTGTTTTGAATCCCTCCCGGATTTCAGAGCACATTTTATGGTCTAAGATTCTGCTCTTGCTGTTGGGAGTGTGAGGGATAGTTGTGATTCTCAGATTGTATACAGTACCAGAAACGATTGCCTTAGCCAAAGCAGAGGTTAGAGGTCATTTAGTCCTGTTAACAACCCATTAAGGTTGATGCTGGTACTGATAATCCCTGTTCTGTACAGGGGAACTGATTGAATATTAGAGACCAAGCCTTTAATATTTTAACTGAAACCTCCCTGGTGGATCTGATTTCTGAACCTTGTGTGCTTTCTTTAGCTTAAGTACAGAGTCTAGACAGGCAGCAGCAACTCAGGTGTCTTCCGGATGGCTTACCTTTGTCTCTTTCCCTCCAGGTTTGGCAGTGAAGGAACTGAAATGAACCAAAACACTGATTTGACCTATATTAAAATACTAAAAATCCTAAGTGTCTTTTGTCTTTGAGGATGGGGAAGGAAAAAATGCTACCTGGTAATGGCTTCTGGTGGGAACAGGAACACGGGTGCTGTTAACGCCTCCCTGCGTCCCTCACTCTCTCTTTTTTTCTTCTGAGATGGTCTTACTATCACCCAGGCTGGAGTGCAGTGGAAAGTCTCTGTCCACTACAGCCTCTCCCTCCTGGGTCCAAGCAGTTCTCCTGCCTCAGCCTCCCAAGTAGCCGGGATTACAGGCACAGGTCACCATTCGAGGCTCATTGTATTTTTAGTAGAGACAGGGTTTTGCCATGTTGGCCAGGCTGGTCTTGAACTCCTGGGGTTTCACTGCCTGCCTCAGCCTCCCAAAGTGCTGGGGTTGGAAGTGTGAGCCACCATACCTGGAGCATCCCTAATCTTGAACATGATTTCAGTGGGCAAATGAGGCCATCTGTTTTTAGCCCGAGTTTGAAAATAAGGAGACGTTGGGAGGCCGTGATGGAAATAGCCCCTGGGATTAAACATACTGACAGCTGTGGGGGATGGGGCATGCCATTCAAACAGGTCCCAAAATGGGTGTAGTGAGGGCCAGGCTTTGCCACTAGCTAACTTGCCTGACTTGGAGAAATGACTTCACTTCTGCCTGCTTCCTCAGTTGGAAAATAGCCATATTAACACCTCTTTCTTGGACTTGCTATAAGGGATGGAGGGGGAGACAGGGGCACGGGTTGGGGCGGCCACCAGGTGGTACTGTGCCACAGTGAACGGCCCTGCTAGAAATGACATCAAATCTGTGGGGCCTGAGGTTTTTTGAATCTCTGTTTTAAGTGTGCTGCACAGTGTGCCTGGTGTTGTGTGAAGCATTTACATACGCTCAGGTTGTGAGGTGTGAGTGCCAGTCTTTGCATATTCTGCAAGGATTGAGACGGTGGGTACACTGGCCCTCAGACCCAGGTGCAGGGCTGTGGGTGGCCTCAGCCTTCCCCATTCTGTAAACATCTTGGATTCCCAAGGAAGAGCAAGTGTTTACCACATGGGTTTTGTTTGTTCCCAGCACATCGTCCAGAGATTGATCCCAGCTCCTAGGAGATGGGCCCTGCAGGGGTGTGTCCAGCCTTGTCTAGAGAAGGCCGCCTTTCATGCGGTGCCTCACAGCCCTGGCTTGTGACTCAAGTCACCGGGGTCACTGAGGCAGTTCACTATGGTGGCCGAGGCTGGGTGGAGATGGCAGTTGCAGTGGTCTGGGGCATAGGTGTGTTTCCAAGCTTTCAGGTGGGCCACAAGGGCTGCACACCAGGTGAAGGCTGGGGAGTGTTCTCTAACTCTGCTGAGTCCCTGGGAGGTCTGTTCCTGTTCTGCTTCCACTTTGTGACACCTCTAGGTCAGCAGGCCAGGGACAGCTAGAATGAATGGTTGCTGTCTGGGTGCAGGTGGGCTCAGCAGGTTTGGATGATCCATGCTGTGTTCCTCTGGCTATGGGGATGGCGCTGAGGAACAGCCTCTGCAGTTTGCTTCTTCCAATGCCACGTGCAGGCCTCCAGCCTTCTCGGGCTCTCCTGCATCCGGTTCAAAGTCCTCAGTGACCACCCACTGCCCAGGAAGCAGGCTCTTCCACTTGGGGGGTCTCTCAGCACTAAAGGGGCAATAAAGGCCACTACCAGACCCCTGCCCGAAATGTCCATTTTCCCCAGCAACTGCAGGGACTGAGTAGAGACCAAGATCTTTTAAAATGAGGTTTTCACCCAAAGAAGTTTCTTTCCTGCCACATCCTCCACGCTGATTACCTGGCTCCTGCGGTTCTCTGGCTCTCCTCTCCCCTCTCCTGTTCTGGAACTTGCTTCTTCCACCCGCACTAGTCCCTGATCTCACAGGGTCCTGTTCGCTCTGCACAGAGCCTCCCCCAGCACCCTCTAGTTCACTGGCATTTCACAGGGCCTGCAATTGCTGCAAGATACAAGTGCGCCTCACCTCACCTACTAGGCTGTAGACACCATGCAGGTGGGAACGTGGTGTTCTCTATCCCCTAGAGCAGAGAATGTGTTCAAGAAAATTTGTTGAGCTGGGGAAAGATGGCCTGATGAGAGAAGAAAGGGTGTTCCTGGCCTCCGGAGCCCCTCAGCTTTGGGCTCCTGCAGATGACATGGCAGCAGGGCCCCGGGACTGGGATCACGAGGAGAGGCCCCAAGGGCAGGAATCCCTGATCTGAGCTCAGGGTGATGGGCCCCACCCCCAGCAGCCATGTGTGTTTGTGAGCGTTTATGAGCCCCCCCACCACCGCATCCTCTGGGTCCCTTCAGCCAGAACCCCAGGAGCCCGGCCCCCGGTCCTCCCGGGCCTCCTTTCTCCCCACAGCCTCTGCTGCGGTCACTGCATCCCTCAGGCTGCCTGCCCAGCCCAGTCTTCCTCAGCCCCATCCCTCCACCCCACAGATTCCCGGTCCCGACTGCTACTCCCTCCGCTGACGGTCATGCCAAGCAGTTTGCGGTTGCAGGACCGCTGGGGGCCTCTGCCTGTGTGCAAGTACTGAGGTCCCAGGGGCACGAGGCCTCCCCGATGGGCCACCCCACCGCCTTTGCTTTTCTCCAGAGCCTCTCCTGGCCTGTGTTTGGCGTCTTCTCGGGTACTGCGTCACCGCCCTCTGCAGTGCCTGCGCTCGGGGTGAGGGTTTTTGCCGGCTTTTGCCACATCACCGATATAACCGTGCCTGGCACTTAGTAGGTGTTCAATAAATGTATGCGCTTCAGTCTCCCCAAAGGCTCGTCCCTTCCGAGTGCTCCTATCGCTCTCCTACCTTCCCCTCTACACAGCTCGAAGGCCCCCTCCTCCAGGAAGTCCACTGTGTCCTGCTTGCCAGGAAGAATCAAGCAATTTTTCTCAGTCCCTAGGACACCTCGTCCTCAGGCGCCCTGCAGGTGGCTTTAGTGAGTTGTTGGGACAGATGCGCCGGGATCTCCTGAAAGCAGGGACTGCGTCTTTTTTCTCTTTGGGTCCACAGGGCTTGCACAATAGATGGCCAAAAAATGAGAGTGAATCTGGAATGAGTGACCGAGAGGCTGAAGACTGCCTCCTTCCGTTCCCGGTCTGTCGGTTACTTACCCTGTGACAAGCCCTTGGGACGGGTAGCCTCCCCTCTCTGGCTATGACTGCTGGCTGCCCCCACTGCCTCCTATACCCTTGATCTGATCATAAATAACAAGCAGTCCGGGGACCTCGAGACTGGAACTAATTTAGAGACTTCTGGGAGCTTTTTTCACTCCCCTCCCACCTCTTCCTCCCCTCCAGCCAGGACAGATCCCCGCCCAGAAAGGGGCTGTTGGCTGCAGGAGGTGCGCGCCCAGAACTGGGACTGGGCCGGGTTCGTGGCGGCGCGGCGGCGCGGGGCGGGGCGGGCGCGCGCCCAGGGAGAGGCGGGGACGGGGGCGGGGCGGGCTTGGGGCCCGGGCCGGGAGGCGAGCGCAGCTGCAGCTGCAGCTCAGCGTGTGGGTCCCACTCGGGCCGAGCCATGCAGGCGGCGCGCGTGGAGTACATCGCTCCCTGGTGGGTCGTGTGGCTGCACAGCGTTCCGCACCTGGGCCTGCGCCTGCAGCCCGTGGACAGCACCTTCAGCCCTGGCGACGAGAGTTACCAGGAGGTGAGTTCGCGCCGCCCCAGACCCCAGCCACGCGCGCCCCAAGTCCCCGCATTACCCCTTCTCCCCTCGAGAGCCTGCACTTTCCCACGTGCCTCTCAGAACCTTTGTCTCCCCTCGCAGCCCTTTCCCGTTCTCCCCTCTCTTCTCCATCCTCACAGGCCCGTGGCCCGCGGCCCCTCCGGTCTGGGAACCTGGGGCCCGGGAGTGGGGAAGGGGAGGAAGGGCGCGGGACCGCCTGCGGGGAAAGGGGCTGAGCGTCGAGCTGGGAGTGGGGTAAGGGCAGGGTGAGGGTAGGGGCCTTCGTGTCGGGGTAATTCTGGCGCTCGAGATGCGGGGATGCTGAGGGCTGCCCTGACGTTTTCGACTTTCTGAGATTCCAAGATGAGGCGCTCTCTTTCCGAGGCTGAGTGGCCTGGGAAAGTTTGGCAGAAACTGAGTAGCGTCTCCGGAGTCGGTCTCTTAGCACCCCTCCTCCCCAGCCCCGGCCTGCAGGGTGGGAGTCCCTGCCAAGACCTCTGCCTGAGCCCCTGCTGGAAGGCTGCAGGGTTGGGGGAGGCGGCGTGGGTGACTTCCCCTCAAGCGCAGAGAACCCACAGCTGCTTGTGCTTGTTCAGGGAAGGAAGGCGGCCTCGGTCAGCTCATCTCACTGTTGCCCGGAGGTCCCCCTTGTGTTGACTGCCAGCCTCTCCTCTGTCCCCTGGTCCTGGGCTGGCCCATTCCTGTTCCCCCGCACCCCTCTCCCCACCCCACACCTTCTAAGCCCTGAATTTCTGGCCTAGAGGAGTCACTCCCCGCTTCCCCGCCCTTTCCCTAGTCTGCTGACCCTCCCCTTCATGGGATTCTGCACCCCACAGACAGGGCCAGGGCTCCCCAGACCCTCCTACCCAGACAAAGCTGCAGAATCTTCCAGCCCGTCTCGGGTCTGGTGACACCTGCTCTGGCCCTGTGAGTCCACCTGTATCAGTTCCGAATGTTGGGTCAAAGATTCTGGGGTGGGGGCCCAGGATGGGGTCCGTTTCCTCAGAGCCAGGCACCTATCTCAGGACTTTGACCCCCGGCAGCCTCTCCCTGTGTCAAGTTCCCCAGATACGGGGCAGGTCAGGGCAAAGCTGGGCCTCTTGGAGGGACTCCTGATCCAGATGAGTGTGAGGTGCCCAAGTGCCAGTGACAGGGAGTCTAATAATAACCCCTGGTGACCCATCAGGCCCAGGCAGAGGGTGCCTGCCCTACCAGAGGCAGGGGAGCATCAGAACCCCTTCCTAGGGTTCACAGGGCACTTGGGAGCAAGGTGGCAGTCAGTGGGCACACCCGCCCCTCTCTCCAAATCTGTCTCTGCCCCTCCTTCCCCCAGAGCCCAGCCTGTGGGAGTCTGTGTTCCCTGAG